TATGAAACAGATGAATCACTAAATTCTACCCTTGAAACTAGCAAAACACTATATGTTAACTAAATTGAATTTAAATTAAAAAAGAAGTATTAATACCCACTCCCCTCAAATTATTCCCCCCCAAAAGAGGAAAAAAAGCTTCCAAATACATTCTATGAGGCCAGAATCACTCTGACACCAAAACAAAAGACACCACAGAAAAGGAAAACTAGAGGCTAATATCTATGATGAACATAAATACAAAAATCTTCAACAAAATGTTAGCAAACCACACTCAATAGTGCATCAAAAGGATCATTCACTATGATCAAATGGGATTTATTGTGGGGATACAAAGACAGTTCGATATTCCCAAAGCAATCAACATGATAAACCACATCAACAATGGAAGGATTAAAATTACATAATCATCTCAGTAGATGCAGGAAATGCATTTGACAAAATTCAACGTCTCTCCGTGAGTAAAACTCTCAGAAAATGTGTTCAGGGAAGTCATACCTTAACATAATAAAGGCCACATATGAAAAACCTGCAGCCAACATCATATTCAATGGTGAAAAACTAAGAGCTTGTCCTTAAAGATCAGGAACAAGATGGGGATGTCCACTTTCACCACTTTTATTCAACAGAGTACTGAAAGTCTTAGCCACAGATGACAAGAAAAAGAAATAAGAAGCGTCCATATTGGTAAGGAAGAAGTAAATGCTTCACTATTTGCAGAAGACATACTATACTTAGAAAACCCTATAGACTCTTCAAAAAAATAATTGGAAGTAATAAATGAATTCAGTAAAGTCACAGGATACAAAATCAAAATACAGAAATCTGCTGCATTCCTATAAACTAATAAAGAAGCAGCAGGAAGTGAAATTAAGAAAACAATCCCATTTTCACTGTGCCAAAAAGAACAAGATTCTTACAAATAAACTTAACTAAGGAGGTGAAAGACTTGCACTCTGAAAAGTATAAAACACTGAAGGAAGAAATTGAAGACAACACAAACAAATGGAAACATATGCCATGCTTATGGATTGGGAGCCCTAATATTTTTTAAATGCTTATGCTACCCAAAGCAATCTACAGATATAATGCAGTTTCTTAAAAAAAAACCAGCATTTTTCACAGAACTAAACAAATTATCCTAAAATATTTATGGAACCACAGAAGATTCCAAGTAGCCAAAGCAATCTTAGGGGAAAAAAAAGTTATAAGTATCACAATTCCAAATTTCAAGACACATTACAAAGTACATAATCAATACATTATAGTACTGGTACAAAACCAGACACATATGTCAATGGGAGAAAAATAGAGATACCAGAAAGAAACCCACACTTACATGGTCAATTAATCTATGAAAAAGGAGACAAGAATATACAAGGGGAAAAGACAGTCTCTTCTACAAATGGTATTGGGAAGACTGGACAGCAACACATGAATAATGAAACTAGACCACTTTCTTACACCATACACAAAAACAAACTCAAAATGGATTAAAGACCTAAACGTGAGACCTGAAACTATAAAAATCCTAGAAGAAAACACAGGCAGTAATTTCTCTGGCATTGGCTATAACAAATTATTTTTTCTAGATATGTCTCTGAAAGCAAGGGAAAGAAAAGCAAAAATAAGTTATAAAAAATTTTGCACAGCAAAGAGAATCATCAACAAACCAAAAGGCAACCTACTGAATGGGAAAAGATATTTGCAAATGATATATTTGATAAAGGGTTAATGTCAAAAATATATAAAGAACTTATACAAATCAACATCTAAAAACCAGCAATTTGTTTAAAACAAAAGCAGAGAACCTTCTTTTTCCAAAGAAGACAGATAGATGACCAACAGGCACATGAAAAGATGCTCAACATCACTCATTATCAGGGAATGCAAATCAAAGCCACAATAAGATAACATCTTACACCTATCAGAATGGCTAAAATAAAAATGTCAAGATATAACAAGTATTGGCAAGGATGTGGAGAAAAAGGAACCCTCATATACTGTTGATGGAGATATAAATTGGTACAGCTACTTTGGGAATCAGCATAAAGTTTCCATAAAAAATAAAAATAGAAATACCATATGATCCATAATTCCACTACTGAGTACTTAACCAACAAAACAAAAATACTAATTTAAAATGGTATGTGCACCCCTGTGTTTATTGCAGCATTATTTGGCCAAGATATGGAAGCAAAATAAGTGTCTATAGATAAGGAAGAAGCAATGTATAATGGAATATTACTAAGCCATAAAAAGAATCAGATTTTGCCATTTACAACAACTGGATGGAACTCGAGGGTATTATGCCAAGTGAAAAAAGTCAGACCAAGAAAGAAAAATACCACTTGATTTCATTCATATATGGAACCTAAACAAGAACAGTAACAAAAAATAAACAGAATGCAGAATCAGACCTATAAATACAGAATACAAACCAATGGTTGCCAAAAAGGAAGTGGTTGGGGGATGGGTAAAATGGGCGAAGGTCTGTAGGAAATATAGGGTTATAGTTATGGAATGAGTAAGTCATAGGAATAAAAGGCACAGCATCAGGAATATAGTCAATGACATTGTAATAGTGTTGCATGGTGACTGGTGGTAGTTCACTTGTGGTGAATGCAGCATAACGTATAGAGAAGTTGAGACACTGCATTATACACCTAAAACTAATGTAACATTGTGTGTCAACTACACTCAAATTAAAGCACTGGGTGCTATATGTAAGTGATGAATCACTACATTTACTCCTGAAATTAATATTAAACTATATGATAACTAACTAGAATTTAAATTAAAAAATTAAAACATAAAAGAAGAAAAAGAAAGAAGTCTATTCACAGTAACATCAAAAACAATTCTATTGGGGTGCCTGGGTGGCTCAGTGGGTTAAGCCTCTGCCTTCAGCTCAGGTCATGATCCCAGGGTCCTGAGATCGAGCCCCACATTGGGCTCTCTGCTCAGTGGGGAGCCTGCTTCCCCCTCTCTCTCTGCCTGCCTCTCTGCCTACTTGTGATCTCTCTCTGTCAAATAAATAAATAAAATCTTTAAAAACAATTCTGTTATAGTACAATCAAAAAATATAATACTTAGAAATAAATATAACAAAAAGAAGTGTAAGACTCATGCAATCAAAGTACAAAATACTGTTTTAAGAAATTAAAGATCTAAATGGAAGGGATCCCATGCTCATAGATTAAAAGACTCAATATTGTTAGCATGGAAACAATACCCAGTGTTTTCTACATATTTAATGAAATCTCTTGATAAGCTTATCCTAAAATACATATGGAAAAGCAAAGGACCAAAAATAACTAAAGCAATCTTGAAAAGAAGTTCAAAAATTCACACTCCTGGTTTCAAACCTAACTAAAAAAGCTACAGTAATTAAGGCAGTGTGGTACTTGCATAAAGACAGATGAATAGATCAATGGAGTAAAACTGAGAATCTACAAATTTGCCCTTACCTTTATGGTCTTTTGATTATCGACAAGGATGCCAAGTTAATTCAATGGGTGAAAGAATAGCATATTCCACAAAAGATACTGGGACAACCAGGTAGCCCCATGCACAAGAATGAACTTGCACTCCTACTTCATACCATAGAAAAAAATAACTCAAAATGGTTCATAGATCTAAATGTAATAGATAAAACTATAAAACTCTTAGGAGAATACATGGGTGCAAATTGTCATGACCTTGGGTTAGGCAACAGTTTCTTAATATGATACCAAAAGCACAGGTAAAAAAAAGAAAAAATAGGTGAATTGGACTTCCTCAAATTTAAAAACTTGTGCTGGGAATGATACTATCAAGATAGTAAAAAGGCAACCCATAGAATGGAAGAAAATATTTGCAAAATCATATCTCTGATAAGGTACTTATATATAGAATATATAAATATCTCTTGAAATTCAACAGTAAAAAAACAAATAATTTAATTTAAAAATGGACAAAGAATTTTCTTCAGAGAAGATCTATAAATGGTCAATAAGCACATGAAAAAATACTAAACATTATTAGAGAAATACAAGTGAAAACCATAGGAAGATGCCACCTCCCATTCTTAGGATGGCTATAATCCAAGAGATGAACAATAACAAATGTTGGGGAGGATGGAAATAAATTGGAACACTCAATACACTGCTGGTGGGAATGTTAAATTGTGTAGCTGCTTTGGAAAACAGTTTAGCAACTCCTCAAAAAGTTAAACAGAGTTACCATGTGCCCCAGCAATCCCACTTCTAGGTATATACATAAAGTGTTGCATATCTATGAAATATAATATTATTTAGTAACAATAAGCAATGAAGTTATGACACATGTTAAAACGTGGATGAATCTTGAAAACCTTATGCAAAGTGAAAGAATCCAGTCACAAAAGACCACATTTTGTATTCCACTTATATGAAATATATATATATATATATTTATATATATCATTTATATGAAATATCCACAGTAGACTTTTGCTCAACCTATTCCTAAAGGGTCACTTTCTATTTCATTTTGCTAAATAGCTGGGATGTAAAACTGTGGTCAGATTGTCACTGTGAAGGGAAATGCCTAAGAATGATGTCTACATAGGAAAGAGCAGAGCCAAAGATAAAGGAGGACATATTTCTGAACATGTATTTTGAGCACACAAATCCATCTGGACATCAAGCAACAAGAATTAAGCGAATTATCTAATTCCCAGTTGAAGTTGGGTTTGTCATGTGCAACTGAAAGAATCTTAACTCAAATGATTGGGTAAACAACAAATTATTTGTTTTTCACATACATTGTATTCGATATATTGTAAATATGGGAAAGCTGTGCTACAGAATTTTATTTACCATAATAGCTATGTCTTTTTGTAAATATTCATCCTTCAGTAGATTTACTGTCCTGCAGAACAAACTCTGTCTTAAGGTATATATATCAATTAAACATGCTATAACTTGGATTAAATAATAACTAAAGCCATATTCAAAATTCATTTAAAAATACATTACTTTTTAGTGGTAATAGTAGTCCTTCCACCACTGGAGGGTTGGTTATGAGATGAATATATTTCTTGTCTCAACTTTGAGAGTTCCTTACAAATAAAAGACAATGCAATTATTTGAAAACAGTAGAAATATGGGGTAAGAAGTATGTTCGATCCTTTAACAAGGTTACTAAGAATACTTTTTCCCTTCCTTTTTAGCTTGGACATGAGAATGTTCTAATCCTACCTGTTGAAAACTATATATTATTGCTTCATGGTACCTAATAAGTTACATAATATGCCTGGTCAAAAATTCATTAACTGGTATAGGATTTCTATATTTAAGGGATAACATGATATTGAACTGGCCTGATTCTCAAGATAAAGATGAGAAAGTTCTTTTCCTAGGAAGCTTGAAAATTACAGTCATAGCAGAAAAGTACTGAAACTTCAGTATGGAAGCAGGTATTGTTTCCTAGCAGAAGGTTTACCACAGATCATTACTACAAGCACCATTAGTTCAATAACAGGGGTATAACATCAGCCACCATATTTTGGTAGTTCCTACCTTCAGTACCTATTTTATAACAGATCCTGGGCCATATGCTACAGATACAGAGAAGAATATAACACAGTCCTTCGCTGAAGCAACTAATAATGAAGAGCAAAGACCTCACAGTCTTTCTGGGAGTTTCATTGCTAATGAGATATAACATTAAAAATATTAAATGCATGGGATGCCTGAATGGCTCAGTTGGTTAAGGGTCTGCCTTGGGCTCAGGTCATGATCCCAGGGTCCGGGGTTCAAGTCCTGCATTGGGCCCCCTGCTCAGCAGGGAGTCTGCTTCTCCCACTCCCTCTGCAGCTCTTCCTCCTCATTCTCTCTCCTCTCTCTCTCTCTCTCTCTCAAAATCTTTAAAAAATATTAAATGCCCAATAACACTCTTTTTTTTTTGTTTCAATTCTTGGTTTCACTTAAATTATATATCCTAAAATATGAACCTTCCACTTCTTCACAGTCAGTTATATTCTATTTCATGAATAAAGTGAGTTTTGGGAATATGTCCTTCTCTAGTCCATGGGAAGTATTTTCATACTTAGCTGAGTTCTCTCTATCTCTACCACTTCCCTTCTTACCTCTGACTGATGCTTTATAAGGGAATCCTTCTCTTCCAGCAAGCTTGTCAGTTCATGAAGCTTGAATTGGAAGTCACTGCAACTTCCTTCTCTTCTTGAAACATCTTTTTGGTACTGATTTAATTGAGTCTAGTGACAAGCAGAGAGAGTCAATTATCATATGGTTTCACTTATTTGTGGAGCATAACAAATAGCATGGAGGACATGGGGAGTTAGGAGAAGGCAGTTGGGGGAAATTGGAAGGGGAGGTGAACAATGAGAGACTATGGACTCTGAAAAACAATCTGAAGGGTTTGAAGAGGTGGGGGGGTGGGAGGTTGGGGGAACCAGGTGGTAGGTATTAGAGAGGGCACGGACTGCATGGAGCACTGGGTGTGGTACAAAAACAATGAATACTGTTATGCTGAAAATAAATTTAAAAAATGATTTAAAAAAAAGAAAGGAGAATTATTATAAATCTGATTTATGAGATAGGTAATTGAGTTTCAAGAGGTTCAGTGACATAAAGTCATACACCAAGTTAAGAAATGAAGAACAAAGTCCCAATTGTTGTAAACTTTTGTAGAGTTTGATGAATATAAAATATGAATAAAAATGCCAATTAGGCATTTCTCATTTTTTAAAGATACCTTTTACTGTTGGGCTAGGCATTACTTAAGTAACAGTCCTAAGCCACAATAATTAAAATAAAGCTAAGAAAATAGGTACTTTAGATTCCTTCAAATACTAATTAAAGAAAACTCACTAGTAACTAATATTATATTGTGATTTGCATTTCACAAAATATTCCTCCTGCATGATTTATCTCAATTCTCACAGCAGCCCTGTGAAATATTATGAAAATCTTTATTTACAAAACAGGTAAATGAGATTACCAGAGAGAGATTACATTACATACAGTCCCACAACTAGTCAGCAACATAGCTGCAACTCCAACACAGGTATTCTGATTCCAAATCCTGCCCATTTTCCTTTTTACTACATCATGTGTGCATAGATGGCTGTTAAGTTAAAGTGTTATAAGTAATGTTGGGATAAAAAAGAAACAAGAGAAGGAAAACTGCTAGAAAACATAGTGGGCTTTTGATCAGATTATATTTTGTATCATTTTGGTTTTTGGAAAAAATTCTACAGTGGTATTTGGAGAGAAAAACCTACGGTTGGTTTTTCCATTAAATATTTTAGTATATTTAACTATATTTAGGGATCAGTAAATTAAGAGTTAGTCAATTTAATCTAGAATTATAAGATAAGGCAATGTACACTTATTCTCACAAATATCACCCTAATTTTGATTAACCTAAAGTAGAAAACAATTTAGCAATATTCTACACACAGTAATATATATTTAAACAAATGTTTCTATGTCATATTCCTGACTCTACCTTCAGTTGATTTTTCCTTGTAACTTTAAATTTTTAAACCATCATTATCTTATTAGAAAATTTGTGCTGACTTGTGTATTTATGCACTGTAGGATCAACATACCCTTAGCTTGCAGATCTCTCTATCTTTCTCCATTCTTAAGTTTTTTACCATCTCCATGTAATGGTTGCCAATCTCATCCATTTTTGTCTGCAGCATTGGGCCTGTGCAAGTCTCAGAAACCTACATAAGGCAAAATAACTTTCTGTAACTGGATTGTTATGAAGGACATACATATTATATTATAAGACGTATTATTATTAGATGAAAACTACATGATTAAATGAGACATTGAAATAATAAGAGTGATTTGTAGGAATTGCACTATACATCTCAAATGGCAGTGAGATGAGACATAACTGCATATAAGATATCAGAAAGCAGTCCATGTCTTTTCTTTTCTTTTTTTTCTTTTAAAGATTTTATTTATTTATTTGACAGAGAGAGAGAGAGAAAGCACAAGTAAGCAGAGCGGCAGGCAGAGGGAGAGAGAGAAGCAGGCTTTCTGCTGAGCAGGGAGCCTGATGTGGGACTTGATCCCAGGACCCTAGAAACATGACCTGAGCTAAAGGCAGCCACTTAAACAACTGAGCCACCCAGGCGCCCCACCAGGTCTTTTCTTTTCTTATCTTATCTTTTCTTTTCTTTTCTTTTCTTTTCAAGATTTTATTTATTATATTTGACAGATAGAGATCACAAGTAGGCAGAGAGGCAGGTAGAGAGATAGGAAGGGAAGCAGGCTCCCCGCTGAGCAGAGAGCCCCATGCGGGCCTCAATCCCAGGACTCTGGGATCATGACCTGAGCCGAAGGCAGAGGCTTTAACCCACTGAGCCATCCAGGTGCCCCACCATGTGTTTTCTTAAAAGGAATAAGATATATATATATATATATGTATAACTAGGGTAATAACATATATTTAAAACAAAATTTTAATACCTGTATTCTAAGATTTTTATTCTCTTGTTCTAAATTACGCTTACAGTATTCCAGTTCTTTTAGTCTATACTCCATGTCTGATAGTGTATGTCGAAGAGAGAGATTGTTTTCTTCCAATGCTTGGCATTTTGAGGTTGAATCTTGAAGTCCTTGCTATAAAGAAGACACAAGTAGGTAAGACAAAGGGATTCTACTTTTTTGGAGGAGAGTGCTCTCTTAGTTGATTAATTCAATGAAATAAAGCAATATTTTTCCATGCTCAATTTTCTTATATATTTACCCTTAAATGATAAGTTCAATCAACCATGAAAGTGATTCTTGCCCCTAGTCTGATATGCTTGAGTGAGAAGTCATCAAGACTGGGTGAATTTTCAATGTTCCAATTTTGCAATCTGACCCTTGGTACTCTTCAACAATATTTTGCCTTCTAGTAGTCACTGATATGAGTATATACCCGATGACTTATATGGAAACAGAAAAAACTGAGACTGTCATGGAAATGAAGATTAGGAAGGGATCAGCCTTAGAGACTTATTTCAATTTCTTAAAAGTCATCTGTGCTCAGACATCTGGAGAGTATTTCTAGGGTTAATTTGCTTATTCACTGCACAAACATGTCTTAAGACCAACAAAACTTTTTTAATCAACACATTAGTAGATTAAATGAATGAATGAACTTAACTTTTCATTACTTATACAATTCTTGTCACCCAACAGCACAGATAATTGTGGATTAGTATGTACTTTATATCTAAAGTATACGAGGTTATCTGTTTTTGTGAGAGAGTTTTAAGTCAATGGAAATAATCCAAGCCACTCAATTCTTATATGAATAAATTGTTCCAGCTATTGTATTTTAATTCTGTCTGGATTGTGTATCATACTTCAGTGTGTCAGTAATTCTGCATTTGAAAAACTATTAATCTAGTTTATCATCGATGAAGATATCAACTTACCTGCTGCTGGTGATTATTTGCTCTCACTGATGCTAAAAGTTCTTCATACTCTTTTATTTGAGTTTCTTTGAATGCCACATCTTTCTCAAGTCTAACCTTGTCATTTTCCAGTGACTAGAAGCAAAATTAGTTGTTAAGATTCAGAATTACAAAAACTTGTCCACAGTTACATAATACAAAGACTAATTTACATTGGAAGGCTTAAATAAGCACTTCTTTCACTTGCAGTTGCCTGATGAAACAGAATTCTAAAAAGTAAAGCAAAATATAGGATCCAAATTGATGAAACTTTAAAAACCTGCATTCTTAGAAACCTTTTGATGAATTGATTTCATTCTAAGTTCAATGAAACAAAACCTTCAAATATTTTAACATTTTGCCTGAACCTACAGAGACTCCTTGTTAATTCTGGCAGGTGGTGAATTTTGAAATTAGAGTCTAAATGTTTTTATCTGAACCCAGAAATGAAATAACCCACTCCAGTTTTCAGGGAGTTATTTATTATATGGAAGGCATTCCAAATGTATTTAGCTGATGGCATCAAGAACACCAACAAAATGAAAAATTGAAAAGGTTAACTTCTTGGAGGAAGATGTTGTCACGTATTCACAGAAATTCAGAGTGTGCTTTATTATTACAGAAAAAAGGGAAATTCCCATTCAGTGAGTTAGATTATTCTAATTTTGCAGGCTACTACCTGGCTATAGGTATTAAATTACCTTAGTGGTAAACTAAATAAGTATATACCTAACTTTATTTTATTTTGACATTGGAGAGCTCTCCTCTCCTCTTTCAATCTCAATTAATTGTTTCAAGAAAATAAGTATATCTGGGTGAGCATATTATTGCATTGTATTAAATTTTGAAATGTAGACTAAATGAATTCATTTTTATGTTAAGAAGTTAGGAACTAGGAAGGCTTTGGAAAGAAAAATCAAAATAAATGTTACTGTCAAGTCATTTTGAAGATGTCCAAGCTCCTCCCGTAAGTTGCTGAATGTGGACAGCACTAGCCGGAGTGATTTATCAGACATACCCCTCATCTGGAAGAAGAAAAGGATTGATGGTTTGTATTTACTAGCATTTATAAACAGTAGATATAAGTGATAGTAGTCTTATTATTTCATTACCATAAGTAAACTTATTAACAGTTTTTTTTTTGTATAGCAATTTTAGAATAGTGATACAAGGCATTTTGTCAATAACATGCATAAGTAATCTAATCAGTATTTCTGAAGACATCATAACTATGTAATAGAAAAGAGTCTATTATTTTTTCCATGATGAAGTATCATCTTTCTCATAAGACAGAACTCTGTCAGCAAATTCTTAAATTTGCTTTTATTCTTTATTTAAAGATTGGAAAATATGAGGCAGTCAAACTTCAAATAATAAAATGCATATCTTTAAGTGTGCTGCCAAACGTATGGATTTTTCCTGAGATTAGAGGAATACAATACTAATTAAGTTTAACTTTGAAGTATAGAAACATCCCAAATTTTAAAGAGGAGTGAGAAAAGTGCTTTTTTTTACTAGATTAAACTCGCTTATTTAAAAAATGGTTTAAAAAACAGTCAACTTCATTTCTGGAAAGATGGAGTAGAAATAATTTCCCCTATTCCTTCTAAGTATAACTGAAAGCCCTGGGCATTACTATGTATAAAACAAACATGAAAAGACTCAGAAAGGTGGAATGAAGAGGGAAGTCTGGTTAGGAACATTGTGACCCCCAAAATGACACAGAAGTGAATTCCTGGGTTCTCTTTTTGCTTCATGTATCACAGACTAGTGTTGGAGAAGTCAGTAACCCAGAAACACCACTGGATGCAGACAACAAAATTCTTTAGAAAAGCCTGCTCTCTCTAGCCAAAGGACCATGAAAATAGCAGCCTAGCAAGGTAGAAGACTTTTAGATAATAATCACTCTATTCCAACCAAACACCACAGAAAATAACCTTCAAATTTATACTTCCACCCAAACCATCAAAGACCACGAAGGGAACCTGGACTTTCTCCCTCACCAGACTCTGAAAAGGTCCACCAACATCATTTACCAGGTTGTTGTTCAGGTTGGTGTTAGAGAAGGCAGAGTGGAGAGATAGGACTTTCATCCCCACCAGGAAGAAAAAATGAGACCCCAAGCACTGTGGCTCAGTTGATAGTATGAAAGGAACCTAGGCTTTCACCTTATCTAGTAGTAATTATACACTGCTCTGTCTCCCTGCTGGGGTGATATTTGAGTTTTCTCAATTAAGAGTCAAGACTTTCATCACTGTGCAACAGAAATGAGGCCACTCACCTTGCAGTGTCAGTGAAGGCCAACTCAGGAACAGTAAAAAGACACCCCTCTACATCCAAAACAAGATGAAATCAGGGGGTCCTCATAGAGAACCACAATTTCTTTCTTTTTTTTTAAATTTCTTTTCATCGTAACAGTATTCATTGTTTTTGCACCACACCCAGTGCTCCATGCAATCCGTGCCCTCTCTAATACCCACCACCTGGTTCCCCCAACCTCCCACCCCTGCCCCTTCAAAACCCTCAGATTGTTTTTCAGAGTCCATAGTCTCTCATGGTTCACCTCCCCTTCCAATTTCCCTCAACTCCCTTCTCTTCTCTAACTCCCCTTGTCCTCCATGTTATTTGTTATGCTCCACAAATAAGTGAAACCATATGATAATTGACTTTCTCTGCTTGACTTATTTCACTCAGCATAATCTCTTCCAGTCCTGTCCATGTTGCTACAAAAGTTGGGTATTCATCCTTTCTGATGGAGGCATAATACTCCATAGTGTATATGGACTACATCTTCCTTATCCATTCGCCCGTTGAAGGGCATCTTGGTTCTTTCCACAGTTTGGCGACCATGGCCATTGCTGCTATAAACATTGGGGTACAGATGGCCCTTCTTTTCCCTACATCTGTATCTTTGGGATAAATACCCAGTAGTGCAATTGCAGGGTCATAGGGAAGCTCTATTTTTAATTTCTTGAGGAATCTCCACACTGTTCTCCAAAGTGGCTGTACCAACTTGCATTCCCACCAACAGTGGAAGAGGGTTCCCCTTTCTCCACATCCCCTCCAACACAGGTTGTTTCCTGTCTTGCTAATTTTGGCCATTCTAACTGGTGTAAGGTGGTATCTCAATGTGGTTTTAATTTGAATCTCCCTGATGGCTAGTGATGATGAACATTTTTTCATGTGTTTGATAGCCATTTGTATGTCTTCATTGGAGAAGTGTCTGTTCATATCTTCTGCCCATTTTTAAATATGATGGTCTGTTTTGTGTGTGTTGAGTTTGAGTTCTTTATAGATCCTGGATATCAACCTTTTGTCTGTATTGTCATTTGTAAATATCTTCTCCCATTCCGTGGGTTGCCTCTTTGTTTTCTTGACTGTTTCCTTTGCTGTGCAGAAGCTTTTGATCTTGATGAAATCCCAAAAGAGAACCACAATTTTTACCCTTGCCCAGAAGGAACAAGGAGCTCCTTCCCTGACTGGTGTCAACAGAGGCTGAGAGGGGAACCTGGACTTCCACCTCAGCTGGCAGTAACAGGCAGTGCCCCCATGTGCTCTTTTTTTTCAGTATCAAATCCGATCTACTAAAACAGAAGATTTGAATAAGATTCAGAGTCATAGGGGCGCCAGGGTGGCTCAGTGGGTTAAGCCTCTGCCTTTGGCTTAGGTCATGATCCCAGAGTCCTGAGATCGAGTCCTGCATCGGACTCTCTGCTCGGCAGGGAGCCTGCTTCTTCCTCTCTCTCTTTCAGCCTGCCTCTCTGCCTACTTGTGATCTCTGTCTGTCAAATAAATTAGTAAAATCTAAAAAAAAAAAATTCAGAGTCATAACACAATACTCAAAATGTCCAGGTTTCAATTAAAAAAAAAAAATCACTCGTCATTCTAAGAAGCAGGAATATCTTACCTTGATAAGAAAAACAATAGATGACAACATCAAGATAACAGAACTGTTAGAATAGTCTGACAAGGATTTTTTTTTTAAGATTTTATTTATTTATTTGACAGACAGAGATCACAAGGAGGCAGAGAGGCAGGCGGAGAGAGAGGGGGAAGCAGGCTCTCCACTGAGCAGAGAGCCCGATGTGGGGCTCGATCCCAGGACCCCGAGATCATGACCCGAGCCGAAGGCAGAGGCTTAACCCACTGAGCCACCCAGGCGCCCCGTCTGACAAGGATTTTAAAGCAGCCATCATAAACATACTTCAATAAAAATTTAAAAACAGACCTAACAATAGAAAGTCTCAGCAATGAAACAGAAACTCTCAGAGAAGAAATAGATGTAAAGAATAACTAAATAGAAATTCTAGAATTGTAAATCTTAATAACTAAACAAAACAAAACAAAAACAAAAACCTCAATGGATGGACTAAAAAGCAAAATGGAAGGAAGAGAATGAAGAATCAGTAAACTTGAGGACAGAACAATAAGAAAGGAGTTTATCAGAACATCAGAGAGAAAAGAGATTGCAAAATAATTGAATGATCCTCTGAGACCTGTAAGAATATAAGACATACCTAACATACATTTCATAAAAGTCCTAGAAGGAAAGAAGAAAGAGTCTGGAACTGAAGAAGTATTTGAAGAAATAATAGGTGTAAACTTCTCCAAATTAGCAAAAAGTACAAGTACAGATTCAAGAAGTTGATGAAATCCCAAACAGGATAAACCCAAAGAAATCCATGCCCAGACAAATCAGTCAAACTTCTTAAAACTAAAGTTAATTTTTAAATTCCAAAAGCAGCAAGATAAATCTTAACTATTGGTAATAACAATTCAAATGACAGTATATGTTTCATCAGAAATCTTAATGGCCAGAGGGACATAGGACACCATTTTTAGGTGCCGAAAAAAAAGAATTGTCAACTACAAATTCTGTGTCTGATGAAAATACCCTTTATAAATGAAGGGGAAATCACATTACCAGATGAAGAAAACTGAAAAAAAAAAAAGTCACTAACAGACTCATCCTTAAAAAATGGGTGAAGGAAGTTCTATGAAGAGAAAAAGATGACAAAGGAAGGAGTTTGGAGCATCAAGAAGAAATAGAATCATAAGTAATAATATGAGAAAACAGAGTAGGTTTTCCTTCTCTTTCATTTTCTAAATTATATTTGATTGTTTGAAACAAAAAACTAACAGTGGGTCTTAATGCACAAAAAGGAAATATTTAAGAAAATTATGTTATAGATATGGAGACTAAAGAGTGATAAAGGAAGCAAAATTTTCTACAGTTCACTGAAACTTACAAAATGTTGAACACCAATACACTGGGATAAATTATGGGTATATAATGTAATTCTTAGAGCAACCACTAAAAAGGCTATACTAAGAGATACACTCAAAAGTACCAGAGAGAAATAAAAATGGAATACTAAAAACATTTTTGACTAATACACAGGAAAGCAAGAACAACAAAAAAAACATTAAAAAAAAAAACAAAACAGAACAAACAGAATAAAAAAAATAAAAATAGCAGAGCTAGCCCCGATGTATCAATAATTACAACTTGGTCTAAATACACCAATTAAAAACAGAGATTTACAGGGTGAGAAAAAAATTTGATCCAACTACAAGTGTTCTATCTAACTTCAAATATAGTGAAAGTTTAAAAATATATGATGAAAGTAAATTTGGGGAAAAAAGATACCAGGCAAACATTAATAAAAGAAAGTAAAAGTGCTATATTGATATTAGATAAAAATGACTTTAGAGCAAAGAAAATTACCAAAAACAAAAAGGGACCATTACATAATGATAAAAGGGTCAATCCACCAAGAGAACATGGCACTCTAAACATTTATACACCAAACAATAGAACTGCAAAATGTATAGAACTGCAAAAACTGATAGAACTGAAAGGAAAAAAAGACAAGTTCACAGTTATAACTAAAGATTGGTATATGCCTCTTTCAGCAGCTGATTAAGAACTCTTTGGCAGAAAATGAGCAAGAATATAAAAGAACTCAGCAACCCCATTGATGAAAGTGTCTAATCCTTTCATGTGCTCATGGAACATACTCCAAGATAGACCATGTCCTTGACCATAAAACAAAACTTAACTATTACAAAAAAATTGATCTCTTATAAAGTATGTTCTCACCATAGTGGAATTAAACTAGAAATCAGCACTAGAAAGACAACAGGAAAATATTTAAGCACTCTGAAACTAAATAATATACTTCTAAATGATCCACAGGTCAAAGCAGAAGTCTAAAGGAAGTTAAATAGTACATAGAACTGAAAGAAAATGAAAGCCATATCATAATTTGTGGGACACAGCTATATCCATGCCAAGAGGATATTTATAGCACTAAATGTTTACATTAGAAAACAGAAAATGTCTTGAATCAATAATCTAACCTTCTATATCAAGAAACCAAAGAAAACAACATATCAAAAACAACACAGGAAGGAAATAATACAGACAAGAGCAAAAATCAGTGGAAGTGTAAACAGGAAAATAATAGAGAAAATCAATAAAACTGAAGTCTCTTTCTTTGAAAAAAAAAGTTAAAATTGAAAACCTCCAGCAAACCTGACAAAGAAAAAGGAAGACACAAGTGACTAGTATCAAGAATTAAATAGGGGATAGTAATACAAACCCTGCAGACATCAAAAAGATAATAAGGGAATACTATGAACAACTATACACTATAAATTTGACAATATAGATGAAATAGACTACTTTCCTGAAAAATACAAGTTACCACAACTCATCCAAAATGAAACAGATCATTTGAATAAACCTATAACTATTAAGGAGTTGAATTTGGAATTTTTTTTAAACTCCCCCCAAAATCTCCAGGCCCAGATATTTTTACTAAAGGATTTTACCAAATGTTTAAAGAAGAATTAATACCAAGTCTATATACATTCTCTTCTAGAAAATATAAAAGAAGAAACACTTCCCAATTCATTTTATGAAGTTAGTATTCTGATACCAAAACCAAAGAGAATACAAGAAAAATATAGACCAATGTTTCTCATGAACTTAGATGTAAAAATCCTCTGAAGGAGTTTTTCAAAGAAATAGGCCTTTCAATTTTCTATTGAAAATTCCCACCACCAGAGATAATATCAAGGATGTCTCCAAGATTCAGATTCTGTGAAGCATATGTGTTTCCTACACCACTGTCTTTTTATAATATATTCTGCGTTCTGCTAAAAATATTTTATTTAAATTTCACAAAAATGACATCAGGTCCAATATTGGACCTTTGTTGGATGACCAACAAAGGTTTAAGACCAATAATTTAGAAATTGGCCTCACTTAAACAGAGCTAGGTTGTCTTTACAATCCTTTCTTACAAAAAGATGTACTCTTTAGCCATATTCCCTTAACATCTATCTTCTTCTGTTTCTTCCTTCATTGTAAGGGAATTTACCGCTCCAGTAATCTCTATCATTCTGCAAATCAGAAAAAGCAAGGCATTGGCCTCTCCCATCTCTTACCACAAGGGGTGGCAGTGTGGGGGTAGAATGGAAAATGGAGAAGATGAGGGCAAAACTATAAATTAGAGTCAAGTTGTGCTATAGCAGTGAAGAGAGAATAAGGCCATTCCACAGCAGGGAACAGTATTTCTGGAATGCTTACCTGAATGTTTTTCAATATAAGTGAAAGTCTGAACAAACCATAATGCAACACTTTTTTAATCAAAGTATAATCAACTTTTGTGAAACAGTATTTTTATTGAGAACTTTCTTTTCTTATTTAAGGGAAGCATCCTTGGCTAGTGGTTTGTCATTGTTGATCTCACACTCACTCTTGACCCCACCTTACCTGCAAAATATAACGAATTTGTTGTTTTGTAAACTCTGACAATCCTTTAGGAATCAAGGATTCAATGTCTTCTGACTGTAAGAAAAGAGAAGGTTATACATTTAACAGATACACATTAGTATCATTATCTTAGGGTGAGTAGTTTATAGACTTCTGTGCAGCAGAGCATATTTTTAGGAACATCAAAAGATTATTTCACTTTCTGGGCAATAGTTGCTACCAACTTCATTTTTAGTCTTATTAGTCCTTACTTTTAAAAACTGATTATACTATATACACTATGGAAACAACCTTGATTTCCAGGCATTTTAGGGAAAAGTTTTGTGCAACCAACCAGATGTTACATTTCTACATTTTTAAAAAAGCAATTTAAAAAACAATAGGATGGTTTTCAAATCCCATTAAACACTTTATTTCAGTGTATCTTTCAACAACTGGAAGGTTTTTTGGGTGGTAAATATGATAATTTAAAGGCTGTTGTTTTAAAATAATGTAAATTTGAAGAAATAAAATTGAGGGCTTATTGATAACTTACACTGGGCTATGATAACTTCTGAAAAATTAAGATGTTGCTACAACATTGAGAAGATTAAGTAATTTGGGGGCGTTGAAGAAACACAAATGTATTATCTCATAATTCTAGAGATTAGAAGTCAGTGAGCTAAAATTAACATGTCAGCAGGACAGCATTCTTTTGGTGGGCTCTAGGGGAGAATCTGTTTCATTGCATTTTTGTTTCTACAGGCTACCTAAATTTCTTGGCTGGGTGGCCTTATCACTCCAACCTCAGCTTCTCTTGTCATATCTAACTCTGACCCACTGCCTCCCTCTTTTAAAGATTAGTAATTACATTGGAGCCAACCACATAATCCAGGATAATCTCCTTACTTTAAGATCCTTAAATTAGTCACATTTGCAAAGTCTCTTTGCCATGTTAAGGTAACATATTCAAAGGTTTCAAGGATTAGGATGTGGACATCTTTTGGGGGGGCATTATACTTATCTTCCAATAAGATGTTATTGTCCTCATTCTGAAGCTCATATTTATACCGTTCCCTTTGTGAGGTATAGATCCAAGAGAGGGAGATTCTAGTAAAGGCAGTATCTCCCCCTCCACTTCCTCCTTGGATGACTGACCGAGAATCCACATCCTCAGGCCATATCTTGCCCTCTTCCACAGCAGGGTGACCTTTCTCTACGGCTATTGCAAGACAAGTTCATTATAATATCATCCAGTACCTCTGACTTCAGTATCTCTCCTCCAAACCATAGAAGGATGATGTCCTTACAAAAACACAGATTGTTGGCCACCTGGGTGGCTCAGTTAAGTGTCTGACACTTGATTTGGGCACAAGCCATGATTTCAGGGTCCTGGAATCAAGCCCCACCCTGGTCTCAGTGCTGAGTGCAGAGCCTGCTTAAGATTCTCTTTTTCCCTCTCCTTCTGCCCCTACCCCCACTCACACACATGCTCTCTCAAATAAATTAATTAATTAACACACACAGAGAGCCACATACTAAAGCTAAGATATCACAGTCAGACACTTATCTCCACAAATCCCATGCCTAGCCCACCAAACATCATTGTCTCTCTTTTTTTCATTTGAGTGCAATTAACATGCTTTTATGTTAGTTTCAGGTGTACAATATTCAACAGCTGTACACATTTCTCAGTGTTTATCAAATTAAGTGTACTCTTAAGCTCCTTTATCTATTTTATCTGTCACCCCACCAACCTGCCCTTTGGTTACAAGTTTCAACTACTTTTAAGTGAGAAGCTAAATTGAAGTAGTGTTTCTTAATGGCAATCTAGGGCTTTCTGAATTATTGTAATGAATACAGTCTATAACTACATTGGAAATAAAGGGAAAAAATAACACAAAGGAGGCCACTGTGCTTTTTTATTACATTGAAATCAGTTTTCTTTATTTGATTACTTATTCCATTAAAAGTAATTATTAACAAAAAGGACATATATAATAGAATTAATACTTGAAAAAATGTACTTTAAGTTGTTCTCTATTTGGCATGGGTCATATAAAGTTTCAAAATATACTAAAACTAAATTTGCTATTGATTTAGTTAATGTAGATTTAAATTTCCTAAATCAGAGAGTATTTGGTCAATGAAATTTTAAATGTTTTGATAAGCAAAGACAAATTAAATCATAAATAACAGCTGATAAAACATTTTGCATGAATAATTATTACTTTTATTATTAACATTTTAAAGATTTTGTCTATTTATTTATTTTAAAGAGAGAGAAAGACAGTGGTGGGGAGGGGAAGAGGGAGAGGGAGAACCTTAAGCAGACGCCACACTGAGCACAGAGTCCAATGTGGCTATTGATTCCATATCCTTAAGATCATGACCTGGGCTGAAACCATGAGTTCAAAGCTCAACCAACACAACCAACAGCCACCCAGGCAACCCAATGATTATTACCTTTTTTTTTTTAAAGATTTTATTTATTTGACAGAGATAGATCACAAGTAGGCAGAGAGGCAGGCAGAGAGAGAGAGAGAGGGAGGCAGGCTCCCTGCTGAGCAGAGAGCCCGATGCGGGACTCGATCCCAGGACCCCGAGATCATGACCCGAGCCGAAGGCAGCGGCTTAACCCACTGAGCCACCCAGGTGCCCTGATTATTACTTTTTATAGCCATTACAAATATATAAATAGTTATATCATTTTAAAGATAAAATAATCATCATGTTTTTCACTAATCCATGTTTCCAGTCTAATAAAGGTACCAAACTAAAAAATATCATCAGTGAAAATATCATAATCTGCTTTGTTATCAACTATATTTGATTTTCAACTATTTTTGCACTTACTTCATCTGTAGACTCAAAGTCCTCTTTGCTGTAAGAGTGAAAAAAAAGATAAACAATCTTAAGAAAGTGTGTGTGATGATCATATATAAATGCTAATGTTCAAATTATTTTATCTTACTTTTTAATATATCATAATAGCAACATTTCAATTTATAATTCAAATAATAACTTTTAATTAAAATAAATTAGAACTAAAGATAATTTTCCTGGAACTAGCTAATCTATTAAAAATAAACAATATCAAAACAACAAACCAAAAGAATATAGAGAATCAGTTACTTCCATCCATTAGCACTTATCCATTTGTGGATAGATGTACAAGTCCTTGACACTGGCAATAATGCTACCTGAGTGAATGAATAACAGTAATAGTTGTTCTCTATTTCCACCTCCCGTTTCTCCTATATTGCTCACTTTCAGGGCCGAATCCAGCTTCTCTCCATAGAGCCTCCAAGTTATTCATACCCTTTTCATCAAAATCAAAACTTGCAAGACAAGGCTAATTCATTCAGTCTACACTACAGTATATATATGGCAGTGAAGAAACTTAAAAGGTATCTGAATAGGGACAGAGCCTTAGGCAACATGACTAAAATTCTAGTGGGATAATAGAACTTCCAGGATCAAAATGAATGTTTGGGCACCAGGGTTGGAAGATCTTTTGTGAAGTCATGTTAAGTAGCCAAATGTTGCAAAAGAATTGTTAGTGATTATGCCAGTCTGGCACTTGCTCTTTTAGGGAATAATGAAAGTGGAAAAGCATACAGTTCTAGTGTCAGGGGCAAGAGACAGGCCTTTATTTCTGCCTACTTGCTCCATCTGTGCTTAATTGAAGTCCTGGGCACAAAATATATGGTCAACACCTCAAACAAGAACAGTACACGTGTTCTGACAGCAAGGCAGAATATTTTAAAGATGGTCTTATAAAGTCAGAGGTATAGAAGTGCCATATGTTCAGTATAAGAGATAAGTATCTTAGAGATATATTAGGACATTATCTCCTACCTTTACTTTCTAAGTAAGTGTTTATGAGTAATATATTGCTTACAGAGATAAGAGGGTCATTGACTGTACAGAACATCTTGCATATGTTTAAAAAAAAAGACTAATGTTGAGGAAGATAATGGCAGATTCAATTTCCAGAAGCATGACTACATATTTGCTGTTGTTTGGCAACAACAAATATGTAGCATTCCTGTGTTGCCCAAAATAGAAATTGTGGGGAAGTCCTAGAAATATAAATAAATAAAGTATCATATACTTTTTGAATGCTTTACTAAAGTAATGGCATGCATATACTGGGAGTTACAACAAGTTAAAAATATGAATCAATGCAGTTTCAGTCATCTTCCATTACTACTAACTGGAATTATCACAGTATTAATGGAACTTTATGTTAAAAACTCCACTTCCCAAGCCAAGCTAGTACACATGTCCCTAGTCATTTCTTTCTACAAATAAGAAACCTGGTGGTAGGTATTAAGGAGAACATGTATTGCATGGAGCACTGGGTGTTATATGTAAACAATGAATCTTGGAACACTACATCAAAAATTAATGATATACTACATGGTGACTAACATAAAACAATAAAAATTTAAAAAATAAAATAAATATTTTTATTAAAGTAAAGTAAAACAAAACAAAACAAAGAAATAAAGCAATGAAAAATCAACAGTACTTAATACTGCAATGTTTTAAGGTAACCAGAATGGTTTTGTGAGACAACCTTCCTTAATTCTGACCCTGTACCCACTCATTGCTAAATCATAACATGGAAAAAGAAGAAAAATGGGGGAAAAGAAGAGGAAAAGAGAGAGAGTGAAAACAAAGACAGCAGAGCAAGGAAGTGGAGAGGCCAATGTGGATTACATCTCCATTCTCACCAGGGGGTGTTGACTAGAATTACATTGAGTAGGGGAAATAAAAACAACAACAGTGGCAGGAGAGGAGGAGAACATGGCAGCAGAGTAGGAGGACCCATGAACAAAACTAGATTACTATCACATCATCTTAAACATCCTAGAAATCAACTTGAGGACTGACAGAACAGATTTCACAACTAAAGGGAGACAAGAGGTCACATCGAAAAGGTAGAAAGTGTGGAGATGTGGTTTAAGGGAGAAACAGATTCTGAGTGATGTGGAGGGGTGAGCCATGGTCACAGAGAGGGGTGTGAGAGAGAGAGAAAAAAAAGAGAGAGAGATAGAGGGGAGCACACAGGGAAACCCACATGGAGAATATTTTCCCAAAGCCGTTGGCCTGAAAAATGAGAAGGGCTGAATTTAGTCAGACCTTACAACCAGCAGGGCTTAAAGCCTGGTTTTAAAGGACAGCAGGTTTGGCTGATCTAGAGCCCTGAGATTACTGCTCTGCTCCTGGAGAGAAGAGAGACAGACAGCCTACAGAGCAGATGGTATGGCAACAAAGATCTAAAGTATGCCTGGGGCACACAGTAGGGACATTATACACTCCTCTCAGAGCAAGTCTCTGAGAGGCAGCTTTCACATAGAGGCCTCTCTGTGAAGAAAGGAGCAGGCTGACACCATTTCTTACCTCCACCCCAGCATAGACAGAGAACCACATATATAGAGGGAGAGTAAGCCTCTCAGCAAGAACACTGGTTGCCTAACTTGCTTATACCAAACCTATCTGCCTGCGTTTTGGTGGAACTGCCCTTCTAAGTCAAGCATACCTCAATACCAGCATTGTGGGCCCCACCTCCAGAAGACCAGCCTAAACCCCTGCTCACACCACATCTCTTAACAAGAGATAAGCAGGGCCTTAGTCCTGCTTTGAGTTGGTTCAGGTCTCATTTTATAAGCAGACCAGATAACACTGAGTAAAAACTCACCACATTCAGGCCAGGTACTAAACACTGCCCAGAGCAGTCAACGAGAGCTTATGCATATGACTGGCCTGAAGGATACCATAGCCAAAATATCACAGCAGAGTGCACACAGCATATACCAGAGACACTCCCTGAAGTGCTACTTCCTGGGCACAAGAAAACCTCTTCTTCATAAGGCCAATAATTTCAGGAACAGGAGACATAACTGGCTTTTCTAACACAAAGAAGGCAGACAGTTAGATGAAATGCCAAGACAGAGATACTTATCCCAAATGAAAGAACAAGATAAGGCCACAGCCATAGATCTAAGTGAAACAGATATAAGTAACATGCCTGATAGAGACTTTAAAGAAACAATCATAAGAATACTCACTGGGCTTCAGAAAAGAATGCAGGACATCAGTGAGACCCTTACTACAGAGATAAAAGAGTTAAAGAAGACTCAGTCAGAGATGGATAATGGAATAAATGAATTGGAAACAAGCCTGATGCAATTAACAGCAGGATGGAAGAAGCAGAGGAATGAATGTGTGACCCAGATGACAAAATAATAGAAAATAATGAAGATGAACAGAAGAGAAAAAGAAGAATTAGTGGAATATGAAAATAGACTTAGGGAATTCAATGACTCCATCAAATGAAATAACATTCATATTATAGGAGTTACAGACGAAAAAGAGAGAGAAAAGGGGCAGAAAATTTATTTGAAGAAATAATAGCTGAAAATTTCCTTAATCTGCAGAAAGAAACAGACATCCAGATTCAGGAGGCACAGAGAATTCCTATCAAATCATCAAAAGCAGGCCAACACCAAAACATAGTGTAGTTAAATTTGCAAAATACAGTGAAAAAGAAAAAAATCTTAAAAGCAGCAAGACAGAAGTCCTTAATATAGAAGGGAAGACACATAAGTCTAGCTGCAGATTTCTCAACAGAAACTTGGCAAGCCAATAGAGAGTGGCATGGTATATTCAAAGTGCTGAATGGGGAAAATCTGTAGTCAAGAATACTCTATCCAGCAATGCTAACATGCAGAATAGGAGAGATACATTCCCAGACAAACAAAAACTAAAGGAGGTCATGACCACTAAACCAGCTCTGCAAGAAGTATTCAAAGGGGCTCTGAGTACAAAGGGGAGACCAACAGTGACAAAGACAAGAAAGGATCAGAGAAAATCTCCAGAAACAATGACAAAAAAGTAATAAATGCATATAAACCAATAATTATTCTGAATGTAAATGGACTAAATGCTCCAATCAAAAGACTTAGGGTGTCAGAATGGATTAAAAAACAAGAGCCATCTTTATGCTGCCTATAAAGACGCATTTTAGATCTAAAGATACCTCCAGATTGAAAGCAAAGGGATGGAGAAACATTTATCATGCAAATGAGTGTCTAAAAAAAGCCCAAGGAACGATACTTATATCACTCAAACTCGACTTTATTTTTTAAAAGATTTTATTTATTTAGTTGACAGAGAGAGAGAGAAAGAGATCACAAGTAGGCAGAGAGACAGGCAGAGAAAGAGGGGGAAGCAGGCTCCCTGCTGAGCAGAGAGCCCTTTGCAAGGCTCAATTCCAGGACCCTGAGATAATGACCTGAGCCCAAGGCACAGGCTTAACCCACTGAGCCACCCAGGTGCCCCTCAAGCTAGACTTTAAAACAAGGACTGTAGCAAGAGACAAAGAAGGGCTATATAATTCTAAAGAGGGAAAATCCAACAAGAAGATACAACAATTGTAAATATTTATGCACTGAACATGGGAGCACCCAAATACATAAAACAGATAATAACAAACATAAAGGAGCTAATGGATAATAATAAAATAATAGTAGGGGACTTTAACACCTCACTTACATCAATGGACAAATAATTTAAACAAAAAATAAGGAAACAATGGCTTTGAATGACACACTGGACTAGATGGACTTAACAGGTATACTCAGAACATTTCATACTAAAACAGGAGAATACAGTCTTTTCAAGTACACATAGGACATTCTCCAGAATAGATCACATATTAGGTCACAAAACTTGTCTCAACAAATAGATAAATTTGAAATCATACCATGCACCTTTTCTGACCACAACACTATGAAAAATATATCAACCACAAGAAAAAATTTGGAAAGACCACAAATACATGGGGTTTAAGCAACATGTTACTAAACAATG